TTACCACTCTTTAACTTACTAAATATTTTACTGATTTATCTTGTTTATTGTCTATCTAGTACATAGCAAGCATTTGGTAAATATTTGAGTGAATGAATGAATGACTGCAAAGATGATTTTCTTGTTAAAGATATTTTAAAAACTGCATCATATATTTTGATGGCAATTCTAAAAGTGATTTTTCACAAAATAGTTTGAATAATCATTAAATGTGTGTGTAGTCTTCTAATAGTATTGCTTTGAGGGAGTTAAAAATTTAAAAAAATTATAAAAATAATTACTGTAAATAACTTTAGATATAAATATAAAAAGTAATTTTGAAGAAAAATCTGTTGAAGAGATTATTAAATCTGAACGGATTTCTTTAAGAGGTAATTATGCATACAAACATAGGACTCTGAGCTGTGAAGAGAAACTATGAATCATGAGTCATTTAAGACAGAGGAAATCATATCAGATAAGGCTTTAAAGGCAAAGAGTGACTTTGTAGTGGATGAAAGTTGGGAAGGAATGATAAAAATTAATAACATTAGGACTATGTTGATACGTATTAAGGACTTACCATGTGCTAGCATGGGGTTCAGTGCTAAGCACCACGTGTGGTAGGTACCTTTGCTTTTCCAATTTATAGACAGAAGTATCAAGGCTTTAGAGAAGTTTCTTGTCCACTGCCCGCAGCTTTCATGGTAGAAGCCACACTTGGATAGATTTGTCTAATACCAAAGCCCAAGTCCCTGACTCCTGAGTGGTCCTGACTCTTATTCGTGATTGGTCTGTAATAGCAGCTTGTAGGGTGAAAATCTCCTGAGGCACCATTTTGGAGAGCAACATGCCATTTTCCAGGAAACCTAACACAGCCAGAGTTTCCTCTAACACTGGACCAGATTGTAGCCATTTTGGCTGAACAACGGATAAAAGAGCTGATCTGAATTTAGGGCCAAGTTGTTTGAAAAATACACACCTTTAGAATTGGACATACACACCCATAGGGTGAGATGCTGGCAATACAAGAAGCCCTTAGGAACAGAGACTGAGTAAATAAAGAGCAGAATCAAGTCTCCTATCAGAATGCTTCTGTACCATTTAAAATGTTAATTCTTCCCATTGCCCTGAGGTGAGTGTGTGTGTGTGTGTGTGTGTGTGTGTGTGTGGTGTGTAGTTGATTTTGCCTCTTCCGCTTTATATTATAAAACCTTGCCAAAAGCCAAGCAGCTTTGCTGGTCTAGAGATGATTACTTAATTCTTTATAATATGGAAAATCTTATTAAATATTTATTACTTACTGCAGTATATGCAAGGCAAAATCTGGCAGAGTCAGGCACCACGTCAATCACAGGAGTACAGAGACTTCAACTTTCTCCAGAATTAATCAACAAAAGGGATAGCTTCGACATTGACAAACGGAAAATACCATAATTGGAGATGCAGCCAAATCACTTCACTATGATGAAAAGAAGGAAAATAGTCACGTTAATTTGGTCTTCTCTCTGCTTAGGAGTCCCACCTGATTTCCTGGTAGTGAGTGCTTATTAAGTTAATGCACTTGGTGACTGCGGGCTGGACGGTGTCATGGCAATGGAGATCATTTTTCAGAACCTGAGAGAAAAATTCAGGCATCTCCCTTACCCGGTCAGTATTGATGGTGTGCCTCCCATGTTGTTGAGAACAGTTCTTAACCCTATTCCCACTGTAGCGCACTGAGGCAGGAGGCATGCTTCTATCAGTATAAAACAGTGTTCTCAGGGGTAAGAGTAATAACCGCCCACTTCCCACTATAGAAAAGCAGAATTTGGGGAGTTTGTATCGAGTGTAGTTTGAAGAATTACATCCCAGTAAGAGGTATTACTCTCACTCTTCAATTGAGCATTAATTGGTTTAGAATAGTGGCACTTGTTTTGCAGTCATTGGCATCCACCTAAGATGCTTCTTGGGGTATGTGAAGTGGGGGCTGTACCAAGGCTTTGTGCACTGTCTGAGGGGATTTTATTAAAGAGCTGAGAAGAGCACCTTGGGGAGGTTACAGCTTGGATGCCTGCCATGTTTACCTATTCTGTTTGAAAGAGGCTGCCCCAAGCACAGCCCTATAAAAAGATAGCAACACAGTCTGTTTCTTTAGGATAGGTGGCCATGTTCTGTTGGCATGTGACCTTTCCATCTCAGCCACAACTGAAGAACTTGCACCTGGCTCGGGGGTGGCCATTCTATAGGCTGCTCAGTGGCTTGTGAGACAGACTCAATATTAAGAATAGTGATAGAATCAGATTCTCCCTGGGGCATTTGGTTATGAGATATACGGAAAGAGTTGGCACCTGGTTGTGGGAGCAGAAGTGGAAAGACAGGCAGAGAGACAAAGAGCTGTGGTTGCACAACTTGAATTATTCTGTGTTCTGAAGACATTTCATGAGTTGCAGCTGTGGTATGCCAGAGACCTGGCTGTGTGCATGCCTTCCCAGCCCTTCCCTCAGAGACATCTGGTTGGTGGGAGTATTTTTACCATGTGAATTGGTTAATACTGCAGATCAGGGCCTCTATCTCTTTCATTCAGATCTGGTTGTTAAATGTTTACCAGCACACTACTGGGTTGGGGGAGGGATGGTGTAGGAAGCAGGCAGAAGCAGCTACATCTTCTGGGTCTTTTGCCTTAAAAATAAATTTGTTGAACGGAATATGGTAACATGATTGTTAAGACTATAATAATGAAGACATTTAAAAAGCATTGTGAAATATATGATTAAAATATCAGTAGTTAAACTCCAAAACTCACCGGAATGCGGTCAAGAGGGTGGTACCTTTCCTGTTCCCCTAGCTATCAAAGGCACAGGCCCCACCCACCATGCCCACAAAGGATGATCTGACAAGCCAGGTAAGCCTCTGGCCTTATTTCCACGTGTATTCTTTACCTCGGTTACTTGAGGTAACCCGAGTGCATACCAGTTACTTAAAACCACAAGAGCCCAATGAATACAATTGTTGAATGCCACCTTTTTTTTTTTTTTTAATGTAGAGAAAATAAGACAGATTAGTATGGTAAAAGTATGTATACGCTTTAGAATGAGGATTTATGTCTGATACTACTTCACCTCTTCCTGGTAGCATATTATTTATCTATGCCTCAGTATCCTGAGCTGTAAAATAGGGATAAAAAAATAATCTCAGAGATATTTGTAAGGATTAAATGAGATATCAGGTACAAAACATCTAGCACAGTGTCTGGCACTTATCATGCACTCAGTAACTTTAGTTCTTTTTTTTTTTTTTGCCACACTTAGTATATTTATTCAAGCCTTTAGAATAGCTGTTGGCATTGCTGGCAGTGATGTCAGCTATGTTGACAAAATGAACTATTTTTACTAACATGAATTAGGTTGTAATGATATTGCATTCTTTATGATTTTGTGTTTCTGTATGTAAGGTTCTTCACTAAAATATTTAAAATATAGTCATAATTATTACAATCCTTTGAAACATGCTTTACACTTAGGGAGCTCCTATATTCTGGTCTACAAATGGCTGTGCTCATTTTATTTTTGTTTTTAAACAAACATTTGGACTATGGGCAAAGAACTTTGTAAGGTGTTGTGGGGGAAGTAGAAAAACAGACACTTATGTAACACAAGGCTATAAAAAAAGAGGAAACGGAGGGAATACTGAAGAGTTTCTTCAGTATTTCTTTTCAACTACCAAGATTCTAGGTACCTAATTGAATAGTCATATGTTATGTGTCATTTAAATCCTTCATTCATTTCACTACAATTTAGCCATCACTACTTTATCTGGGTCATCTACCCTTAGTCCCATTATAACTGCCAGTGCATTAAGGGTGAAATTTGCCCATTTCCCATATGTAATTCACAGGATGTGGTGTTTTTCAGTACCAGATGTTTTGAGGGGAGCCACTTGGAATGGACTGTTTTTTGGCTTATGTGTTTTAATACTTTGCCAGAATTGAATTTGTTTTGAAACAAGGTTTCTGATTTTCAGATATAGCATTTTCAAACAAATAGTGTGATTTACAAATTACCATCACTTTAGTTTATGTTGAAATAATTCACACTCTAAATCTGTTTGACATTTACCCCTTAAGTATTTTGGATCAATAAATCATTTCTGTAGCATTTAGCATCTTAAAATGTTCATAAGTAATTACTTAACATCCTACATCTCCAGGTCCTGCCCCATTAGTTTGAGGGAAAAAATATATTATAGTAATTAAGACATAATTATGTTGTCTTGAAAGCTAAGGGTCATTTGGACTTGATTACCCAAGGAGTTATCAGTGCCAAGGAAAAGTCAGGCAATTACAGGCTTGGGCCTGTAATTAAACATCTAGTACAGACATTTTGTTCATCAGAGGTGGCACCTTCTGAATGAATTACAGCACTGCATTTTAGACAAGCTACAGTAAATACAAAAGTAGTGTGTGGAGGGGGTGGGGAGTGGAGATGAATAGAGATTGGAGGTGGAGAGAAAGACTGGTGAAAACTTAAGCATTTTGTTGTGAAAAACTATTATTCAGCCAGCCTGCCTGGGCTGCATATACGATGTTCAAATATAAGTTTGGGATGAGCCCCTTTGCAATTCTGGCTAAGAACACACACACATACTCACCCCCGCTCTGCTGGAGAGGGCCGGCTCACCTGGCACACAGGAGGCTGGTTCTCTGCATTACAGCGAGTGCTTGTTCAGTATGTACAGGATGGCCAAGTAGCTAACTGGCAGCGCTGCTCCTGCCTTACTCTCCCACACTTAGAGAAGTATTTGCCACAACTTTTTAACCCTTCACCCTCAGCGCTCTCAACCCCTGACACGTCTTCCCACAGGCTCGCTGTCCGGTCTCTTCGTGTTGGTTTGTCCGTCTCCCACTCCTTCAGGGGTTTCAGGTGGAACATGCCAGGTGGCTCTGCTCTGGGATCTCGAGTTGGAAAGGGATGCCTGCCCTCTGTCAGAGGGCGGGCCGGCCGCCCTGGGGCGTTAGAGGTGTAGGAGGAGGAGCAGGAGGACCGGGCAAAGGAGGTGGGAGTTGGCGGCCGCGGAGCCCCGGGCAGCGGGCCCCGTCCGCGGCCGGCGCGCTCCACAGTCCTCCCTCGCTCTTCTCCTATGCTCATATTTGGACTCGGCGGCCCGTGCCCAGGAATTTCCCGTCATGCCTCCCGCCGCCCCGTCCGTCGCCCGGAGCCGGGGAGGGAGGGAGAGAGGTTCGGACAGCGGCGGCGGCTGTTTGGCCTTTCCATGAGCCCGCGGCGGACCCTCCCGCGCCCCCTCTCGCTTTGCCTCTGCCTCTGCCTCTGCCTGGCCGCGGCCGCTGCTCTGGGAAGTGCGCAGTCCGGTAAGTTCGGGCTCTCCTCTCCTCCTCACCTCACCCCTCCCACCCCGAACCTGCCACGTTAGGGTGTGACCGGAGCCCAGATCCCCTCCACGCCCCTTCGGCCTTCTCCGGGGACAGCCCCTGAATCTGCCGAGAAGGAGAGCAGAAGGTTTGCGCCCCGCACCAGCGATGAGGGGCCGAACAGAAGGAGGTCAGGGCTGGCTTCTCCCCCATCCGCCGACGGGAGGCGTCTGGCCGCCTCAGAGACACCTTATCCCGTCCCGGGAGCAAGCCTGAAACCTCGGGAGCCTCTCGCCAGGCGCTGGCCCCTGTGAGAGCGATCTGGCGGGGCAGCCCGCGGGAGTCAGGAGAGGGGGCCATCCCGAGCCCTCTGCTCGGTGCGTCGGCCCAGCCAGGGTTGCCGCTCAAATAACGGGCCCGGGGCGTGGGAACCGGCCCGCCAGGCCTGCGCTTTTCGCCGTGCGCCTCGGTGAGGACTGGGGCTCAGGGCCACGGGCGGGCGGCGGGGAGGGGCACGCCCGGGGGCGCACCCGCCGCTTGCCCTCCCTGCGCGGCTGCCACACTGCTGGGCCAGGCTCCCGCGGGCCAACTGGCATTTCACAGGCCAAAATCGAACAGAACCCTGAGTTTGCCAGGTACCAGTTTTGTTTTGTTTTTAAATAGAAAAAGACATCCAAGTCTATTTTTGAAGTTTTACACTGGACTATTTCAAGTCTAACTGTGTGAATGAAAAGTGCTGTTCCTGCCTTATTTGGTTTCAGGCTAATAGCTATCGGAAGTGGCAGTTCTGAAGTCGTTACAGTAAGATGTTATAAGATAATCTTGAATCACGTGGAAAATATTAGGGGGAATTTAATGTCAGATTATTATTTTAAAAAGCGATTATTTGAAAGTACAAACGTAGAGTTAAAGGTAAATGTGAAATTGCACGGACTTTTACATTTGAGATGAGTAGTCATCAAAGCTTCTTGCTTCTTAATTTTATCTGGAGTGGAAGAACATAGATTATAATTCCTTACAGCTGAGACTACTTAGGAGATTTTAGTTTGCTTTTGTTTTTGCTATCAATAGATTAAATTGTCAAATAAGCTATGTCAAACTAGGATTCATAAATTGGTTGAAAGCTGACTCTATGAAGCATAGATTATATTCAGTACTCTCTGGTTTATCTCTTCATATTTTCATTTGCAGTGCTGTTGGCAAAATTGAGTTTCAAAGACAGTTTTGTCTATTAAAAACCTTCAGGGTTCATATAACTTATAAAATTGTCAGTTCGGATTAATGGCAGATATTTACAATATTTAACTTGATTAAATTTGTAATTTGTAAATAGCAATTTGAGCAGTGATACCAGTTTCATGTTTGTTTCTGCATAGCATTGTTTTTCAAAAAAATGCTGCTTTTTATAGACTCATATTTTAGGAGTAACTTCAATAGCACTTCTTGGGAAATACAACAGGCTCTAATTTCACATTTTTATCAATGGATTTCTGAAAAATACTGTGCCGGATAGCAAAGAGTGGATTTTATTGCTAGGAAATAGATGTATGCTTTCTTTTTCCTTAGTGATGTATTGACTTACCTAGTACTTGTGGTGAAATGGCCTTCAAAGACCAAAATCCACTGTAGTGGCCCCTTGCCAATAATTTTGAACACCAAGTTCATATTTGGACCATTAAAACATATATTCTTTTAATTTTGGTCCCAGTTGATATAATCAGTTTAATTTCTGATGACTTTTGTTAGGGCCCTATATGAATATCTGGAAATTTTTATATTAAGATAAGTAGCTCTTTGCCACTTAGAATTTTGTCACAGTGCCTAAAATGCCTGTCTGCCAAGGTTGCAGCATACAATGTAATTTAGATTTTGAATCAACACATTGCTTTTTGTTTTTAAAAGTGCTTGTTCCAATATTTTAACTAAGATGTTAATCTATTAAGTCAGAAATCCTTACTGTTTTACTCAAGTCAAAAGAATATCCAAAGACTATCTCAACAGTAAGATTAATCAGTTTTTCTAATACGTATGCCATTTATTAATTTAAAAATAGATTTTAAGGCCACATGTGGTGGCTCATGCCTGAAATCCAGCACTTTGGGAGGCCGAGGCGGGAGGATCACTTGAACTGAGGAGTTCAAGACCAGCCTGGGCAACATAGGGAGACCCTGTCTCTACAAAAATTTTTTAAAAATTAGCTGGGCATAGTGAATCATGCCTGTGGTCTCAACTACTTGGGAAGCCGAAGTGGGAGGATTGCTTGGGCCAGGGAGGTTGAGGCTGTGCTGAGCCATGATCTCACCACTGCAATTTTGGTTCTGTCATAATCTGGTCACAATCTCTTTAATTTATCTGCGCCTGTATAATTTATCATAGCTATGGATTTGGTTGATGAATTCGATTCCCATGTGTAGCTTATTTCTTGGTAAAATTATTAAGTTGGACAATTTCCATGTCTCTTCTAACTCCAAGATCCTATAATACTGTTTTTGTTTATATAACTCTGCAGAGCCACCTACTACATGTGGTTCAAAATTCTGATTATCAGCCTGTGACTTGCTATACATGTCAAACTTGTCTACCATAGCCAGATGTGATGGGTGTGGTCCAGCTTTGGGGAGTTCGGATTTGTCTCAGAATTGTCTTAATACCTGGAATGTGCACAAAGATATATACATACCTGGATGGATTCCATGTTAAGCTTCTATTACTGTGTCTTCCTCATCTAATAGCAGAAAGTGCTGATTATGTCATAGGGTAAATGCCTAACTGCTTTTCGGAAATAGTTAAGCCCAGGCCTTAAGACAGTTTGATATTCAGTTTTGTTACTTAGGTCTGGGTTAGGGATACCACCAGAGAGCATCCAAACATTCTTGTGGTTGGAAAGACTAGTTATCTGGGAGCATTCCAGTTGAAATAGCCTATAATGGGTTGTCAACTTTTGATCTTACCGCAGAGAAGATTGAATTGGATCTACCTATCTGATTTAGCAGAATTAAATTGGTTTTGGATAGGAGGGTAATCAGCTATTTAATTTGACACTTGTTAGCATTTCTTATTTCTTAAGGATTTACTTTGAATATTCTGTATTTTCTCTTTCCTGGACATAATAGATTTTCCTTTTAAAATGCTCAGCGCAGTCCCTAATCCCTGTTCACATATTTGTTTGTAAAGTATGCTGAAGTCATATTTATGGCTTTACGGGAAATACAAAGAAGGAAAGTATGGAAAAGATCAGTAATGCATCAAACAATCGACTTTATGAGAAAGTTTGGTTATTGCTTCATTTAAGCTCCTGTTGCAAGTAACAGAAATGAACTAGCTTCAGCAAAAAGGAAGAAAGGAATTTGTTGGAAAACCATTGGAAGTCAAATGCAGGCAGAACTTATTTGGGCCTGAGATCAGGAACTGGAAAACCTAGAACATTCCCTTTCTCTAGTCTTGGACTTTGTTTCATTGTTCTTTCTTTGCTGACTTTTTTTTTTTTTTCTTCTTCATAGTTGGATGTGGCTACTCAGCAGCTCCTGAGTATTTATGTGTCCCTACATAAGGAGAGGCTATATTATTGAACTTGATTGTAAATTCCAGAGAGGTAGAGCTTGATAGACAGTTTAGGTCACATGGTTGACCTAGATTTTCCCTAAAGTCCCTTCTAATTTTAGAGTTATCTGGTGTACATAGTACAGCCATGTAGATGGCTTGATTTTGCATTTTTCCATTTTATGTTATGAGTTCATAGTCCTTAAAATGTATACTTTGCTCTTGATTGTGGTGTGTGTAGAAGTGTGTGTCACCCTCGGTGGGATTCTAGGATGTTAGAGCAGTTCCTACTGCTGCAGGAATGCTGAGGAGGAAGCCTATGGAGAGTAACTGGAATGTAGCACCACATTCAGGAATTGTGGTACTTGAGATCCAGCTCAATTGTGAACATTTTCTCTGATAACAACTAATTCACTCTGCAGATAATCATCTGCTTATTTTCAAGAATTCACTGAATAAAATGCTTACCTCGAGTGGCTCTTTAGGACAAGTTTATTAAATCTATATGAGTGGTAGAGATATTTGAAATAGTGATAGCTTAGGGAACGAGAATTCATCAGTTGTTTTCCTATTTCTTACATGTAGCTAACATTTTCTGCCTCTACTTTTCCTTTAGGCTGTTCTTACTGCCTGGACCTCTTCCGTATCAGAACTTAAGAAGTAGTTAAGGCCTCTGTCAGATGTAGTTTGCGAAGTCTTCCTCATATCACAGAATTTGTAATTTCCTTGTGCTTCTAAGGCATTTTGGACTGTGATTGGAGTACAACTTTTACAATATTGTCTTGTGTTGTAGTTAAGTCCATATATATTGATCGTCTTCACCAAACTACAAATTCTATTATGTCAGTGAATCACCTAGAATGGTCTTTCTTTCCCTTCCTTCCTTCCTTCCTTCCTTCCTTCCTTCCTTCCTTTCTTCCTTCCTTCCTTCCTTCCTTCCTTCCTTCCTTCCTTCCTTTCCTCTCTTTCTCTCTTTCCTCTCTCTCTCTTTCTTTTCTTTTCTTTTTCTCTTTCTTTCTTTCTTTCTTACTTTCTTTCTTCTTTCTTCCTTTCTTTCTTCCTTTCTTTCTCTCTCTCTCTCTCTCTCTCTCTCTCTCTCTCTCTCTCTCTCTCTTTCTTTCTTTTCTTTCTTTTTGGAGGCAGGGCTTCACTCTGTCACCCAGACTGTAGTGCAGTGGCACACTCATGGCTCACTGTGGCATCGAACTCCCTGGACTCAGGTGATTCTCCCACCAGTGACTTCTGAGTAGCTGGGCCTACAGGCACCTGCCACTATGCCCAGCTAATTGTATTTTTTTGTAGAAATTGGGTTTCACCACTTTGGCCACACTGGTCTTAAACTTTTGACCTCAAGTGATCTCCCAGCCTCAGCCTCTCAAACTGTTAGCATTACAGGCATGAGCCACTGCACCCAGCTAGAAGAATTCTGATGGGTTCTTAGCATCCATTGTTCCAGGTAT